AAAGACAATGCATCCTTTGCACACATACACAGAAACAGACAATGCAAACCCGTACACACGCATGCAAACACACACCCTTCTTTTCTTACATACACACAGAAACACAATGCATCTCATGCACACACATACAGACACACACCTTGCATCCCTTATGCATACAAACACAGATTCACACAATGCATCCCTTACACACAACCAGAAACACATAATACATCCTTATACACAAATACACACTGCTTCCCAGAATACATGACGATAGGGCGCCGAATGACGCCATATTCGCACCAGTCTCATCTCAGCAGCACAGGACGGAGGGCACTAACACAGGAAGCACCTCTAGTGACCGTCTGAGTGACTGTCACCAGCAGTGTCACTTTGAAGCAATGTAAACACTGCCTTTTCTCTGAAAAGTCAGTGTTTACGTTGAAAAGCCTGTAGGGACATGCTATAGACACCAGTACCACTACATTAAGCTGTGTGTGTGTCTTCTAGTGAGTGAGCTTGCTTGCATGCGTGTGCCTGCTAGTGAGTGAGCTTGTGTTTTTATGTCAATGAGCTGATGTATATCAGTAAGATTGTTTGTCTGTGAGGCTGTGTATCAATGAGCTTGTGTGTGTCACTGAAATGTCAGTGAAATTGCCTGTGTCTGCATGTGCGTATGCTTACTGTATAATTAAACGTTTTACCCTGAAAGGACCAATATTTTATATTAGAAAAAGCAATATATATATATATATATATATATATATATATATTTCTCAATCATCTGTCCTGGCAAGACATAGCCTTACATATTACACGCGACAATATATGGCGCAGTGACTTATGGGGCTGGCACAAATTTTTTTTCCAGTGCTGCTTTGTATCCCCAGTCCGGCCCTGATTCTAATAAGCAAGTACTATTAGCTTGGTTGCTTCATCTAAGTGTTGCTTCTAAGTGTGTGGTTGGAGATATTCTGGAGAGTTTTACAGAAGCTTCAACTGTCTAAGAGTTTTCTTTTTTGAGGTAAGACTCATCTGTAGGAAAAGGTTACTGATTGCACAAGGTTTGATTTTC